AAATTATAATAATAAAAAAAATACTTGATTAATCCAAAAGAGGGCAAAAAACAAGTGGGGGGGGAAGGGGCAAGGAGAACAGGTGGGACAAATAGAAAGCAAATACTAAGATGGAAAATTTAAACTCAGTATTACCAGGAATTGCATTGAGTGTTTAGTAAGTGGACTACTCCAAATAAAGATGACGGAACTGCGGTTTAAAGTTATATTGAGGGGCGCCTGGGTGGCTCAGTCGCTTGGGCGTCTGCCTTCGGCTCAGGTCTTGATCCCGGGGTCCTGGGATGAGCCCCGCATGGGGTTCTCTGCTCAGCGGGGAGCCTGCTTCTCCCTCTCCTCCCTGCTCATGTTCTCTCTCGCTATCTCTGTCCCTCTCTCTCAAATAAATAAATAAAATCTTTTTTAAGAAGTTATATCCATAACATTCACTTAAGTCTCTTAATTCTTCCCTTTCTGTATCCGTTTTGTAGAGGTAAGATGGGGGCTTCACGGAGTGAAGAAACTTGCCAAAATGACTCAGCCCAGACACAGCAGTCAGGATATGAGCCCCAGTTGTCCAGGCCAGGGTCCTCAGCCGTGGCCGTTCAATACAGACTCGGCAAAGAGAAGGTGCTGCCAAGCTGGGCAAGAACCGGGTCCAGGCAGCACTTCGGGCCGAGCCAGACCGCAGCTGGGAATGGCGAACGGGCAGGTTCAGCCCCACCGCAGTGAGAAATGCAAGCTCTTGGGGAATGGACGGGATTTCGGGGCTGGGATTAAGGAAACAGCTATTAGAGAACGTAGATCTGTAGTAGAACCAAAACACAGAAATGTATACTTTTCTCCAGCAGTGCCTGGTGTCCCTGGTTAAAAGTAGAGAAAATGGAGGGTTGATTGAGTCTGGAGTTGAGTTTTGCTGGAAAGTGGCCAAGGACAAGATGGACAAGGAAGACAAGGTCTGGGCAGAGACTGGCTTATAAAATTCCTTCTTGGAGTCTAGGCTGAATAGGGAGGTGGCGGAGTCGGGGTCGGGGGAGGGTGTATCTAAAGAGAGCAAGGAGAGGGGTAACAGGGACCAGACAACTCTATGAGGTGGAAGTGCAGGTATCCTGGCGGGAAGAGAGGAAGAGACCTAGAAGAGTATTAGCCTCTGTCACAGAGAGTAGGATGGGTATCCAGACCACATCTTATAAGGCATCCAAGAGAAAAATTAGAAACAAAGATAAAGTCAGTTTAACAGGCTTCCTTTTCTCATTAAATTTGGGGGAGAAGGATACAAGCTGGAGGCTGCAACTCACTTCTTCTTACCTGAACCACCATTTTCATGAGATCTTTAAAAACTCTGATCAAAGATCACTAAAAAATTCTGAATTCGGGGCGCCTGGGTGGCTCAGTTGGTTAAGCGACTGCCTTCGGCTCAGGTCATGATCCCGGAGCCCTGGGATCGAGTCCCACATCGGGCTCCCTGCTCCTCGGGCTGCCTGCTTCTCCCTCTGACCCTACCCCCTCTTGGCCTCTCTCTCTAAAATAAATAAATAAAATCTTAAAAAAAAAAATTCTAAATTTCTCCAGGTAACAGATTGCTTTCTCTGAATCACTCATTTTTTTTTCCTAAAACAGGGCAAAGAAAAATAGTTAAAATTAGCTACCTTTTTATAATGCACTTGCTGGAACTAATTAGTAATTATTTTTTAACATAAGCAGTTGGTGTGAGAGTGGTGATAATATATTTACAATATAAACTTAGCATCATTAATAAGATTGTCATTTCTATGTGGAGGCAAGACTGTCAGAAGCTGTCCCCTTTATGGCGGAGAGTTGCTCTTTTGGTTCTAGAGTGGAAGATGGTAGTTAGAAAATTCTTAAGAAATAGTCCTGCAATAATAAGGTATGTCACGGTATGTATTCGAAGAGCTGTAATGTGTACATCTTTTCAAGACTTCCCAAAAAACAAGTGAAGAGTTTTTATCCTAATAGCTAAAGCTCAAGTATTTTAAACACTTATCAACATAAAAATGTGGCTTCTTTACAATAAAATATTGACATGGATGGAAACTCTTTCTCTGATAATAAATGTGTCTTTTCATATTCATTCTTAAGTAGCCTAATATTAGCCTTTTCCCTTCTAAATTCCCATATTTGGATTCAGAGTGAGACTTTCTTTTCACTTCTCATTTATTCAATGTTGGCACCAAACTCCTTTCTGTCAGCTTGATATTCAGCTCTGGTCTGACCTAATTCTGCTCAGGCGGTGAACTCACTCACTCCCCATGGCTGGGCAAAAGGAGAAAGACATGAGAGAGAGGAGAGATCCCAAATCTTTCTCCTGTCAGGCTGTTCTAGGTCACCAGCCTCATTGAAGTACTTTGATAACATCCCCTGGACAGTTTGAAGAGCTTCCTTAATTCACACTGCGCCATGATTGAGCTTAACTTGACCCGTTCACCCACCTCCCCAGCTATGCGGAGGGACCTCTTCTGGAAGAGAGGGGTCAAGAAGGGGGCATTTTTTTACCCCCTCAAGTTGGCAGTTCCTGATCCATGTATGTAATTTCCCAAAGCCTTTCCAAGCGTTGGGATGTCTGGTGGTACTTGAGAGCCCTGGTCGCTGTTGTAGACATTTCCATCATCATCATTTGTGCTGTGGCAAAGCTCTCGTGTGTTTCAGTAAAAAGAAGATGGTCCTTAGGTTTTATCTTCCCTTGACACTGCTTTTTCTCCCTCTGCTTGCTGATGGATATTTTCCAACTAACCACCATCCCCACAAGAGTATGGATCGTCAGCTGTAGCAAAAACTCATAGCAGAGTTGAAATTTCTGTAACACAACTCAGACTGGGGAAAACATAGTTTAGCATTTTTTCTGTAACTGATTTCATTTTGTTCTAGGACTCCATTCCCAAAGATGGCCCCAAAGCATAACTTTGTTCTACTAGAGACTGCGAATTGCCTATCTAAAACTCATTCTCCCCTTCTTCCCTACTAAAAATACTCCAATTTTTACAGTCACAAAACACCCAACTGAAATTTATGCTTCCCAGCTTCCCTTGCAAATAGGTATGGACCTGTAACTAGGTTCTGACAAGTCCGGTGTAAAAAGAAGTACTGAGTGTGGCTTCCAGAAGAGCCCTTTAATGTAGGACAACTTAACTTGGAACTTGGAGCATACCCTTTACCCTCCCCCACCTTACTCCAAATGGCTGCCTAAAATGTTTGCCCTCTCATATCACTTACAGTATTACTTGATTCTGATACATTATTTTGAGTTGTGACGTTTTTATTTTGCCACTCTATCTTGTTTCTTCAATAAGAAAACATCAAAAGCAACTTAAAGTCATGGACTGCTTTTTCAAGCTGGGTCGTGTGTGTGTGTGTGTGTGTGTGTGTGGGCGTGCACGTGCTTGGTTATAAAAATGAAAAAAGAAACAATCTCTGACATGAAGAAGTGTATCACAAGGATAAGACGTACTTGGTGGGAATAATAACAGAACATACACAAGGTAGATACAGATACACGGATGCACAGAAATATGTAGAGATGATAGAGACATAGTTTAATCCAGTTTCAAATAAGTATCTTATGCTGGACTGTAAATTATCACTTTCCTCCCTTATACACTCAGTTTCAGCTGTTCCCGTGTTCAGAACAGAGATGCTCAGAAAGGATAAGATGGGGAAAGGCCCCTCACCCTTTGGAACTGTAAAGAACTGGTAATCCCCTGCTCCCACGATCTGCTTAGAGAGGACCCCTCGTGACCACATATGAACCCATGCCAGGCAGACAGAAGATTGCTCCCTCTATGCTATGTCTGAGGACTTCGCCTCCTGCTTAACAAGAACTACTGGGCAAGTTATCACAATGATACCCTAAGTGACAAAGGAAATCATTTAAAGATTCATTAAATGCAAATCCTTTTTAACTTCAAGTGTCTTAAAAATACAGACACCACATAGACAGACAGGGGTCTAACTATCTTTGTACCGTTTCTACAATATACATAAACCAAAGGAAGTGTCTGTGATACCATAATAAAGTATCCTGACAAACTTCTGTTTACCATAAAAAAAAATGCTCATTCTGAAAGCGGTAATACAGTAATATTTCTAGGGACCTGGAACCTAACAGAAAATGTTTCAAAATTAGAGCAGCATAAAAAGAGTGGTATTCACAATAAATATAATTTATATCACAAATAACAGTGAACTCACAGGTTATCTTCTCTGTGGTTCGACCCTCGGGATAAAGTAGAGTCCTGCTGTAGATTGCACGGCTCGTTAGTAGTTCCTTGAAATGGGTGAGTGATTGGAGAGTGGGACCCTCTGAAACAATCTTTTGAAGCTCATTTGTTATATTGTGATATGTGTGCAGGTGTTGTAGGGACACCAGCGACTTACCAACGAGTCAGGCTTCCCTTCCAAAGTGCAGAGTCATGGCCAGGAAGTGGCTGCCCTGGTTTCTATGCGGGTCCACGCTGGCTCAGTTCCAGGTCAGGAATGTAGGCAGGAGTGATGTGTGATACTCAGGCCCACGGAAACCCGCCTGTGATCTTCCAAGCTCTCTGTCGCCCTCCATCCTCTGGTTGGAGCTGCAGGATCTGAGACACTGGGGGATGACACCACAATATAGAAAGAGCCAGGGTCCCTGAACCACTGTGCAGAAGGCTGTTTGCAAAGGACTCACCTTAGACGGATGTTTAAGCAAAAAATAAACTTTGTGGTAAACCAGGGCAATCTGGGGACTTGCCTGTTATCACAGTTAGCGCTGGCAGAATTGACGTGGCAGGTCACGGTGTATCAGCCACAGGGGACCCCTCCCCACTCAGGGCTGTTCTTCTCCTTTCATTAACAGTAATTGACAAGAAGCCTCTTTTCATGACTCCTTCCCCATTTTTTGGTTCTTCACATTTTCTCTTTGACATTTTCCCTATAACTTTTTTTTGTTTGTTTTGCTTGTAAACAAGAGAAATTTATTTCTCACAGTTTTGGAGCTCAGGAGGCTGCAAGTCCAAGATCAGGTTGCCGGTATGGTTGGGTGAGGACCGTCTTCTGATTGAAGCCTTCCATCCTCACATGGTGAAAGGAGTAGAACATCTCTCTTCTGAATCACCTACCAATCAGTTAGAGTTTGAGTCTTGGTTTTCTTTTTATAGAGGCTACTGCTGCCAAAGGAAGTGGAAGGAGAAGGAGTCGATGGACACAGTCTCCTGATGGTGTGCTCTCCCTCACTGTTTTTCCCTCCCGCATCGATGCCTCTTTTCCATCCGAGTCCTGGCTGTCAGTGCCCTGCTGAGGTCAGGAGGGAGGCCATATTGCAAGAGTGGCTCCTGGACTCTTGCTGGAAAGGACAGAGCCAGGGGCTTGTTGCATAAAGAGCCCTGAGGACACCCAGGAAACCAAATATCACTGTGCTCCTGATAAGATGGTGCTCAAGGGCTCTAACATAATTTTCTTTTTTTTTTTTTTAATTCCCCTGATGTTCTCCGAGGCTATGCCAGTGAATAATGACCATTTCAAATTCCTCCAAGGAGATCAATCACTGTACAAACAGTAGCTGTTCCTTCACATAATATCCCTGGAGTGTACATCATGGCAACATTCTCATTCCATGTCATTAATAGGAAACTCACTTGAGAAACCAACACATTTTACTGCCTTTGTGTTGTGTTCCTGACTATGTAACAAGTTCAGGACTCAGAATGGGCTAAGGCCACTCCAAAGTGTGCCTGTGAGCGCATGTGTGCATGTGTGCATGAATGTGAGTGTGCTCCTATTTACTTCAATGCCAAGTGGTCTACACTGGTGCCTGAAAACTGCCTCTTGGGGATTGAACCCAAGTGTGTTATGGATCTCTAGAAGAATTTGACATGAAAAGTCAGAAGTCTTTGCTCTTGTTCCTGCTACTTATTCACAATCAGAGCAATGTTGTGTTTACACCGTCACGACGTGGATCCCAACTCCAACACTTACCAGCTGTGCAATTTGGAGGTAGTCCTTAACCTCTCTGTTCTTCCGTTTCCTCTTCTGAAATATGGGAATTGTAATGATACCTACTTCATATGGTTCTGTGAGGATAACATGAGATAAATGTAAAATCCTTAACAGGGAACTGTAATAGTAATCCCCAGTTTATATTAGCTACTACTACTAATAATTTTAAAAAAAAGAATTTTGCATCTTCCCCGAAAAACCCATTTTCCCCAAAAAAGGCCCCCCCCCCCCCCACTGACTTCCGCCTTCCCTAGGTCCTCACAAGCCTATCTACACTTTCCCATCACTGTACTTAGGACCCTTTATTGTACTGCTGTTTGCATGTCCATTCTTCCTGTTTCTTTCTCTTGTATCCCCAGTACTCAACTAAGACCTAACACGTCGCATGTTGAACCCCATGAGATTTCTGCTTTCATAGATTAAAAACTCAAATGTTGGCACTTTTATGTGGTTCAACCCAGAGTGGGTGTTTAGTAATATCTGCTGATGAGGGAATGAACGAATGATTACTTTTCCCCTACTGGCCTACTACTAGTTGACAGGTGTCATAAATGACACCATGATTTTTATGAATTTCACATAAAATACTAATTTATCTTCCTGGATACCTGTTAATAGCTTTTTCATCTTCCAGTAGAATTTTGTTAAAAATACATTATATCTGTGAGTTGTGTTTTTTCATAGAATGATAGAGACAGTTCATAATACTGTTCTCAGGCAAACAGAAGATTTAAGAATTATCAAAGATGAGCACACACACACATTCACATATATACTCCCCTACACACTTTGGAATGAACTTACACCATTCTGAATTCTAAACCTGTACATACTCATCACTGTTCGTTCCCTACTGAACCAGCTCAAACCTGAAGCTATAAGAAATCCCATAACTAATCAGTATATTATCTGGAAGCCAAATAATTTTCCTATCCCCCAGTCCTACTCCCAGACCCAATCATCGGTTCTAAACATGATTATTGTGGTTACACAACTGACTCCAAATGTGATGAACAACCATAGAACAAACAACACATATGAGATGTTTGTGTCTCGTATATTATATCATCAAGGAATGACCCAGATCATCTGTTGATGATTCCCTCTTTGGGGATCTTCTCTGATCAAAGAAGCAAAACTGGAACATACCATAGGCATGGGGGTTCCCAACCCCTCAGGTAAAGAATGTCACATTTTGACCAACATCACACTGAGGACCAGCCCTCTGAGGCAGGACATGACTTGTCAGTAGTCAAGAAGCTCTGTCCCTTCTCTGATGGTGAGCAGACAGGAGCCTTGACCACCAGCGTATTGGGTGACCGAATCAACAAGTGCAAATCCAAACGTCTGGGGAGGCAGGAAGGTCACGTAAGTAGGAAAAAGAAGCTAAATGTGAAGCAATGAAGAATAGTGAGGAGTGTGACAAAGTATTCTGTAAAAAGGCAGCAGACGTTCGGTTCCACGCTGGTGTATGAAGTCAATGTTGCCAGATTTTAGGATTTTTAAAGAGAAATTGGAAATTTGGATGTTTGTGAGAAATGTCCTGGCTCTTGAGGCACTGCATGTATCATACACAACCCATGGCGGAAGGCAGACCGGACCTGCGGTCACCAGTTCCAACTCCCACGTGAGACTGCAGTCCATGACACCTTATGCATACAAGGCACTCAGGAATGGAAAGAGACTTCTGTGGTCAGAATGTTCAGAGAAAGCTCTAATTTTAAATACTTTCACTTAACATTCCTGAAAATATTCTGACACATGTTGGAACACATGTCTCAATTTTTAATTTGGAAAATACAGCTTGAATCTCTCTAGTTAGCATTTTGGAGCTCCTTAAAAGTTAGTAGTAGTCCCACCAGGCTGAGAAAGAGAGAAGAAACAGGCCTACATACTAAAGGGTGAAAAGTGCCAGACAATATGTTTATTTTAGGGAATAAGGGATGTTACACACTGCCTTAGTTTTCCAGCTCTTGATGCACATCTCCTCCCATTTCACTAGCTCATGTCTCTCAAAATTCAAATGCTTTGGCTCTGTTATGAACAAATTATATTTGAGTCGTTTTCAGAGGTCTAGTTCATGATGACAGTGCCACAACCCTTGGACAATGACTACTCCTTTCTAAACGTTTTAGTCCAACATCAGCAAAGCCTGCCTTCCAGCCTGAAATTCTTCCAGTCCACTAATCAACAGATAACATTCCTAACTTTCCTGAGATACACACACACACACACACACACACTTACACACCTTCCCCGTGACAGAACACACAGCTCGGCTCCGGTGTTAGCAGCACAGTGAACTTATCAAGCAGCCAAGTGGGTGGCAGGGAAACAGAGGAACCTGCGGAAAGCTTCATCTCCTCTTTGGCTCCCACCCCCAATTAAGGAGTCCGGGCTTTTAAGGTCTACCACATTTCCATGTGGGGACAGAAACATAATTTGATAAAATGTACCCTTTGGACAGGAAATGGGAGGGTCGTCCGTTGGGGCTGGAGCATATGCAGGATAATAATGACCCTGTCTTTGCTGGTGTCAAACCTCTATTTGTTAACTAGCTCACAGAACAGACACAGGGCACTGTCTTTAGACACTGCCCGCTATTGAGGAGAAGAAACAACAACAACAAAAATATCCTGTCAAGCCACCCAAGTCAGATAATTACCCTGGCTGCAAAACATCCAGGCAGGGAGCACTGGAAACCTTTTAGGGGGTCCTTTATCATGCCCTGCCTTTTCCAGAATGAGGCTAATTTGCTCCTATTTCAGCCAGCTCCGGCACAGAGAGCAGGCGAAGGAGAGAGCAGAGAATGAACCGTCAGCGTTATTGAAAAGATTCATGATTAGTCACACTCACTCACAGGCCAGGCCCTTGCCAGACACCACACCACTCATTAGCAGACCTGAGAACTGGCGTGCCTCCCACAGCTGAGCAACAGCTCCAGGCCTGGCAGGCCCCCAGGGACCCACAAAGCCCTGTGTTCTCCCATACCCTGCAATGAGAAAGGCCAGTTTGGGCAAGCCTGGGTGCAACTGGCTCCCCAGATGCTAAGTGAATCTGTTTGTTTTATGTTCTGTGTTGCTTAAAATATTATTGTTCAGGAGCTTAGCTTAGCTGGTGTGGAAATCCAGGTAACATCTCTTCATGTTACACTGAAACAGTTACCTGACTGGGGCCGCCATTTTCTGCCCAGGTTCCCTCCGGAGCACCCAAGAGCCAGGCCCGTCTCTGGTTTGTCATCCTCCCTCATCTCGTATTCAGCTACAGCTGTGAGCCCTGCTCTTCCCAGAACTGGAAACACTTCTTCTCCATGTCTGAGTAATACCAGCAATTATAATTTAAATTTACAGTGCTGGCCATTGGAGGGCTCAGGGCGTTGAAGACTGATCCAGCTCATTTGCAGGAGACAGGATGGGCAGATTGACTTCAGTTCCCATAGTAATGGGGAAACTGAGGCTGGGGGGCAACAGCACTTACTCAGAAGCATAAAACAAAGAAGAGCCTGGTGCCTGCTTTTCTGTTCATACTTACTCTGTTCATTCCAACTACAGTTCCATAGGAGAAGACACCATTTCTAGTTAGGACAGTAAACCATTTTGCCCTAATGAAAGCACCACTCTCAGTGTTATAACTCCATAAAGCTCAACCAAAACTAACCAAAGAGACCTGGCTTCTGTTCACATGCCCTCCATCCTCCACAGGGGATCTGAAAGCAGAGGGCATGGGGCCAGGACATCATAAGTGATCACAACAGGCACCGGACATGATGGTGCATTGTACCAGACGTCAGAGCAATGTGGAGCCATGATGGGCTCCGGCAGAGAGGAAACTATCATGGGAAAGCCTGACTCCAGACCAGAGCTCACATTACTTGGTATACACTGAGATGCGTATTAGCTTAGATTGTTGGTGCCTGCAAAAGTGACTCTGGCCGTAGAAGAAATTAACGTGGTTAAGAATGATCATGAACAATGTAAGTATGACTCAAAGCATCACATTCCATTTCTCGAGGCTAGAGTCGCCCCCACCCTGGCTTCACAGAGGTGTCGCCATGCTGACCCAAGCAAGTGTGGTAAGGCCCTGGGAAATTCCTGTGAGTTTCTAGAATTTTCCAAAACTCCCTGCAAAGCTACTAGACAGTACTTCATTTAAAGGAAGCATGTTGGCAAACTCAGAGATTTTGTGTGAAGGCCATTTATCATGATGGACCCCCAGTACTGTGCACTCCTGGTCCTCCAAGGTGGGGGGCAGTGGGCCAGAGGGAATGTGAAGGGGCAGAGGCAGTGCCCGTCACTCAGTGTAATCTGGGGGCGGGGGGCCACTGCCCCTTCCCCGTGTGAGTCACCCGTGCCTCTCCCATTCACTGTGCTCCTCCGTAAAAAGGTGGAGCCTAAGTTAAAGGAATACCTTACGCGACCCCAAAAGGAACTTGCTCAGGAGTCACTCAGGTCTCCTGCAGCCTCCCCACCCCCACCAAGCCCGGGCTGTCAGCCAGGATAGCTATTCGCGACCACCGTGTCCAGCAAAAGCCTGACTCTTGTGTGCACTGCAAGTCTACGTGCAGTCTACCTCTGAAAGCATGCATATGTGCATACGGAAGAAAATAACTTTGCCTCCAATCTTTGCATTACTTGCTTCCAGAAGGGAAATTGTCACAATAGCTGACAATTTGGGCATACTTTTGCCAGGTACCATCTTAAGTGCATTGACTCTGAAAGCTCTTCCCACAAGTCTAGGAGGAAATATTCTCCTCATTTACACAGGAGGAAACTGATAAACAGAGATTTCCCAATCACACAGCCAAGAAGTGGCAGGGCTGGGATTTGAACCCAGAGCTCAGTGTGTTTAATCCCTGTGCTTTTTAAGAAAGAATGATATGATTCCATGCGGAGATGGGTTCTTGTGTGTCCGGTGTACTTCTGAATGTTTGGGAATACCTCTCTCTTCGGTGACATGAAAAGGTGCATGGAAAGGCAACAAAGATTTGGGGAAATAAGGCCAAGGGGAAGTTCAGCATGATGGTCAAGAACAAGGGCTTCGAGAGCAACAGACCCCACTGGGGTTTACTGTCACTTGCAGCTATGTGACCTTGGGTGGCTACTCAGCCTCTCGGAACCTCATTTTTCTCACCTATAAGATGGGAGTAATGAAGGCCTCTAGCTCACAGGGTTCTTGGGAGGTTAAAAGGAACTGGCCCCCCTAAACAGCACTGCACAGTGGCTGGCCAACCGTGAATGCAGAATGAATGCAGAATCAGAGTGCTGGTTATTAAATGTGGTGAGAGGAATAGCAGTTAAGGGAAGATAAAGTCTTTTCGAAAGAGATTTAGTGTCTACATTGTCTTCTTGGTTGTCAATTTTGTCATAGAGAGTTAAGAAGGATAAATAAGAAATTTCCCTTAAAACTGTAATTTTGGAAAATAGCTCCCTCTCTTCTGGTTGCTGTCACTCATACTTCATCCCTTTCTCCCCAGGATCTGGTAAATAATTCATTGTTCTCATGGAACAGCTAAACCTGGCTCCCCCACATCTCAATTCCAAGCCTGGGGAACAGAGATGCCCCCATTATCTGCAGGTCTCCATCAGACAGGGGCCTCTAGGCAATTGCGGCCAGACATCAAGCCTGCCTCTGACGCTCTGGAGCAGGTAGGGTTCTGCCCCATCCCCTCCGGTCATCCTCACGTGCACCCTCGCTGCTCCTCACAGCTCGGCAGCATGTTGGCAGGTCGCTGACCAGGAGCCTGTATTCCTCACACAGGTCCCTTCACTATAATAACCATATTTTCTGTTGCGCTGAAGAGTAATTGCATTAATTTGGGCAGCATTTATCCTGACCATACTAATTGCCTGATCCAGCTGAGGCCTCTGTGAGGTCAGGGCAGAAATGAGTGGAGCAGTCAGACAGATGTCTTTGTCCCGCGGGCCATCACGTTCTTGCGGTGCATGCCCCCAAGACCCTCCTCCTTTGTATAGAACCCTCTGGAGGGTGATGGGGTTCAGTGGGTGGAGGAGCAAATCGGGGGAGCCCCAGGGCATGGGGGGACCGCAGTAGAGCTGGCAGGGAACAAAGTTTGACTGAATGTCACAACATATGCACATGCAGATGGTTAAACAAGAACGGATGCAAGCACAGGCTATTGGTGACATCTATAAATACGTGTGTGTGTGCGCGTGCGCACGTGTGTGATGGGGATTGGCAAGTAGGAATTAAGAGTTTTGCTCTGGTAACATTTCAAACTGTTCACGGCTTAAAAGTCACATGTCTTTGGCAAACAAGCAGTTCCAGTAGTCTTTATCAAGAGTAAATTATGTGGGTATGTTGCTTATCTAAAAGTAAATAAGAAACACAGATGACTGCCTTTAAATGTCTAGCGAGCTCTATTTTCCCTTCTTTCTGCAGATAAAATTAAATATCGACATAACATCGAGATTTGCCAGCAGGATGCACAAAAGTACGGGGTGGGGGTGACATGGGGGGATGATACCTTTAAAAACGTCTTTCTCTGTCATCCTTCCCCTTGTCTTCACTGGTCCCTTGGTCCTGGCATCACCTCTCATCCTTCAGACATGAAGCTGAGCGGCTGTTGCAAACACCAGACCCCGTCTCTCTCGCCTCACCATTTCCTGACCCCTGACAGCAAACCTAGAAACCGAAAGTTGCTCACGTGCGGAGGGCACCTAGAAATTCAGCTCTGCTTGTAAAACACTGACAAGGTTGACGTCCATCCTCAGTGAAACGGCCTCTGTCACTTCACTGTGCAGGTGCCCCTTGTGGGTTGGCCTTTGATGAAGCAAACTGCCAAGCTGGGAGGAGGACTTCATTTTGACTAGTCACCCAGGGCCTGCCAGGAGGAAAAAGTGCTGAGATTTTGAGAACAATAAGTAGCAGTCGCGCATAGGGACTTAGGGGGGGCAAAAATGATTGCCCTCCTTAGGAGCCCAGAGTAGATGGTTCTTGACTGTGTCTGTTCTCGTGTTATTGCTCCAACAGGAGGTGATGGGAGGACCTCCTCCTTCACTGATATTCTGAAGGTTCAGTTTGTGTGTGAGGATAAGGGTGTGTGGGCCAAGTGAGAAAGGAAGTCCTAAACACCCAATAATTTTTAAATTATGGGTTATGACACATTAATGACTCCCAGGATGGGGAAAGTTTCCATTGGGTTGTATGATTCAGCCTCATAAGAGAGCCCAATGCCTTCAATTTGAACGAAGTTGGTTCTCAACCCACTAATCCTCTAGAGTCCAACCAACTCCTTCCAAGCGAGAGGTCCTCCCAAAATGTGGGATGAATCACCATTACATTACTGATACAGTAAAGGGAGTAAGTCTTGCTGTACCAAATGGAGCCAGCTGAGAGTTTCGGGTTAAGGCCTAAAGGAGGATGAGGAATAGAAGAGCAAACCACAGGAGCCCTGGCCTGCCTGTCCTCCATATGTAGTTTTATGACACTAGGAGAGACTTTATACTTGAGTCCTCAGGCCTGAAAAGGGCTGTCTCTAATCGCGTGAACACTGCTGGCTTGTTCCTTTTTATAGGCTGTTAAAGTAAGTGAAAAGTCAGTTCAACGGGAGCTCTGTCAAGTGGGTATAGAATGTGGTAAAGGAATTCTCACAGTACAAACTGGCATGGCATAATCAAATCTCCGGGGCTTACCGGGAAATTCAGCACCATCTTGGCACTTTCTCTGTCTTCTTCACCTGCTTCCATGCCTGCACGGTCCTCGTTCATGCTGATGTCCTGTAGGTGCTGTCTCAGGCTTTGTCTTCCTACTCCATACACACTCCCCGGTGCGGAGGGTTTTGTTTACCATATGCACCCTCTGGCGATGTCCAAATCCAGATGTTTAGTGAACACTTGATAAACGTCAATGAAGAACCTACCATGGGCCAGGTGCTGGGCCTAGGGAAAAATAAAACATGGCGTCGACTGTCGAGGTCCACATATACTTTCATACCTGGATACTTGCTGAATTTCTTTTACTCAAGTTTAGAGTAGTAATAACAGCCAGAATGATTTTCTTCAAATCTGCTAATATTTGTTGAGAACCTACCTATCTACTTCGTGTCAGTTGCTCGACACAAGGCATTTTCTGGCTCACCAGAGTGCTCACTCATGGGCCAGGCGAGTCTCCGGTGCCCATTCTCATCCAGCCTGACAGCCAGGCAGTGACAAGTGGACATGGACCAGGTCACAGCTCAGTAAGGTGTTACACATCATTTTAGCACTGATCCTAGGGTCGTGGTGCTTCTCATCTGACTTTTAGGATAAGAAATGTAAGATGTTGGCAGATAATAAGTTTAAACTGGAACTAAACATGTCTTATTTCTTCTCTCTTAAGCTTCCAAATCAGCGGAGTACCCCAGGATTGCAAATTGAGTTCTAAAAAAAAAAAGGCAGCTACCTTTTGCAACGAGTCCCCTGAGTGAATCAGTTTTCTCAGTATTATGTAATTAGAACAAATATACATGTATATTGCCTCCTCAGCCTCATACCCTCCTGCTCCCCTCCCACACACCCTACCCCCGACGCACAAAATCACCCACTCTTCCTTCGTTTCAATCTTTGCTTATACATGCTGCGTCCTCCAGCACAAGGCCCTTTCCCTCCTCACCTTCCATGGCACCTTCCTTCTGAGCAGCCGTCCTGACCTCTCCAGGGCGAGGTAGGATGTATGTTCCCATATCTGTGTTCCCACGGAAATGCTTTCCCAGCATCCCCCTCATCGTGGCAGTTTTTTGTTTACATGTGTGAGTTCCTAGTTGGGAAGAGTGGTAGTTTATTTATATCTGTTTACCTAGCGGCTACCCGCTGCTGGCTCATAATATGTACTTAGCAAATGCATGTTGAATGAATGAATGAACAGATAAGCCATTTAAATGAGGACTTGGATTTAGTCCTTGAAGACTTTGAGCATTTACGTTTGTAAGATGTCTATGCTTGATATGCCATGGCTACCGAGCCTCCGGTACTGCTTTAACGAATTGCCTCATTTAATCCTCCAAAACCAGCTCCATGAGGTAGGTGGAATAATTATGTTAATTTTTCAGATGAGGAAACAGAGGCACAATGAGGTGATGTAACATGCCTAAGTTCCCACAGCTAGAGAAAGGCAAAGCTACACTTGGATCCCCAAATCCAACACCCTGTATCCCCCTCAGGATGCTCCCTCCTGCCTGTACAGAGAAGGTTGTATGCAATTGGACAGCTTGACGATGCAAAGTCGTGATGACTAGCTTCTAAAACAGATGCATTTGGGAACTGGTGAGGGATCCTCCCAGAGTGTGGCAAATTTTAAGTACTGATTCCATGTTGTCTCGGGCCACTGTCCTGCCATTGGGGCTTACTCCTCAGCGTGCCTGTCTTTGCAAAGGAAGAAGAGGAAGAAACATGAGCTTCGGGGTCACAGAATCCTCACAAAATGAGAAGACAGACTTTATCATTCACTGGCTGACTGACCTTCTCTGGATCTGTTTTATCATCCTTAAGATGAGTCCATAACCAGGGTAACATTGGTTGATCCTGGTGTTTGTAAGAATAAGATAAATATGTATGAAGAACCGAGTATATTCACTGGCTTTTTCTCTCCATGCTAATTATTTGATTCTAACGTGCTGTAGGTTTTGAAAACCAAGCTTGTTAGAGTCGTGCCTTAAAAGTCGACGGCCATACCACCCTGAACGGGCCCGATCTCGTCTGATCTCGGAAGCTAAGCAGGGTCAGGCCTGGTTAGTACTTGGATGGGAGAATCGTGCCTTAAAAACACATAAACAAGGTCCTGATTGTGCCATTCTCTGCATAAAGCCCATAAGCTTTAGAACGTGTCTGCTCCTGGCAGTGACACTGGCAGCCCTGGAGTCTTCTTCACTTTCCTCCGGCTTCTCGTCCATCTTCCAGAGGGACACGGTTGGGTTCCGGATAATTGAGGGACGCCGGGAGTCAGGAGTCTCATGTGGCTCACCGCTGGGTGGCAGCACACCACACTTCCTTTATGGCCACTCTTCTACGTAAGTGGAGCTCCACTTAGGAGCCCACCCCCACTTCTCAATTTCTCGCATTGCTTTTGATGCAAATTATCGGTTACACTTTTAGGTAATAGCAAATATTGTTTGTGTGTGTGTTTTAGGCACTCATTTAGGATGACATGGAGCCTCGCCAAAGCCAAACTAAGCACATTTCATTAGACCATTTTCACTGGGAGGTTTTTCTTACACAAAATTATCTACAATTAAAAACATAGAGAAATTTTCTCAGTGTGGCACAGCTTTTTAAGAGATAGGGACAAAACCCTTATGGAAAAAGCAATTTATAATGCCAGTAATTTTCTACCTCTGTCCTGCTATTATTAAGGATAGCAGTTTTAAAAGGAACTCTTAGCTCCTGTCTCTCCGCTCAGGCTGTGGGCTCACATAATGGCCTGTCTCTAACTTGAGCCCATTGCCACGGGAGTAATTATGCCACACACTCAGAAGGACGATTTGCTACAGAATCAAAGAAGCAGTTGGGTTCAAAATGAAAAACAATCTCTATGAGCATGAGGGAAAGAAGCATGATGAAGTGGGGAGGGTCCAGAGAGCACTGTTTTATGTGGAAGAGTGTGCTGTGAACAAAAGTTTTGAAATAAAACATCAGAATAAGACGTTAGCGTGTGTGAAATAAATGAGATAATTTTCTCGATGCCCCCTTTCCCTCTCCCATATTTTTCAATCACAGTGCATGGTTAGATGGTCCCAAATAAATAGCTCTTTACAGCCACTGTGATATTTCCTGTACCAAGCATTCCAAGTGAATAATTTTAATTTCATAAAATCCTGGAAAAGAATCACAGACTTCACGGCCATAAATGTGACCTGGGAGTTCATCTTGTCCCGTTCCTCTGTCTTCATGAAGGTTCAAACCAAAACTTTCCCAAGAAGATCAAAATCTACACTGGAAATATCACGAAGTAATTTTTCTGAGGCCCAGGACAAAGGACAAGGCCACGGACAAAGTTCCCTCCGTGTAAAGGGTCAAGTTTTTTGTCAAGGAAGGAACACGGGATCTGGAGTTGGCAGACCCTGGTGAAAGTCTGGGTTCTGGAGTTTGCCAGCCCTGCCACTTGGACAAGTCATGTGATGCCTCTGTGCTTGGGTTGCTTCGAAAGTGCAGATTCTAATCTACGTCCAATGATCGGGTGAGAAAATGGATAGGAAAGTGCTTTGTAAACCAGAGAGTGTTATTTAAACACCACTTAATAGAGTTGTGCTCACTCAGTCCGTTTCTCCTTCAGTGAGCCAAAGAATCCAGTCCTCTACCACTAAAACCCAAATGAACAGACATCTGCAGAGCAAGGGTGTACCTCTAACTGTGTGCACAGGCATGAGCAGGCTCTGCAGCCTGGAAGGAGGTGAGAGCTGAGGAGAAAAGGGAAGCATGAAACCCACGAATAAGGGGAGCATGAAACCCAGCTTCCTCCCAAAAGGGGATCTGTGCCCTTGCCGGGGTCCAGCCTTGATCTAGGGCTACAACGGTGTGGGGAGGGAGTGACAGGGGACCTGGATTTGGCTACTACCTTGCAGAGTGACTCTAGGTTACTTATTCACTTGTTTGGTTACTCTTTCAAAATAAATAGTGATTAAAGACACAGACTCTTGAGCCAGGCTGCCCAGGTTCAAATCTTGGTTCCCCCAGTGACTTAAGAGGTTACTCGGAGGGGCGCCTGGGTGGCTCAGTCAGTTAAGCAGCTGCCTTTGGCTCAGATCATGATCCCAGGGTTCTGGGATCAAGCCCCGCATCGGGCTCCCTGCTCAGCAGAGAGCCTGCTTCTCCCTCTCCCTCTGCCTGCCTGCTGCTCTCC